TTTTTTTTTCTTGGCTCATTATTTCATTCTTTTTTTTTTTAATATTTATTATGTATGCAATATTCTGAGTGTATGCCTGCGGGCCAGATGAGGGCACCGGACCCCATTACAGATGGTTGTGAGTCACCATGTGGTTGCTGGGAATTGAACTCAGGACCTTTGGAAGAGCAGGCAATGCGCTTAACCTCTGACCCATCTCCCCAGGCCCCATATTTTATTCTTAAGCCTCCATTCCCACTCCCTCCCAGTGTCCTCCACCCGGTAGTCTCCTTCTCTCCTTTCAGTAGTTCCCCTTTCTGTTTTCATGTCACATATACATGTATTCCATGACTGTCTTCTAACCCCCTTAATATTTTGCCTTGATAGTTTCATGAACACCCCCCCTCTACACACACACACACACACAATTAAAATCTAGAAATGCATATGACAGACAACATTCAGTGTATGTCTTCTTGAGCCCGGCTTATTTCACTTAACATAATGCTCTCTGGGTCATCGATATTCCTGGAAATGTCATTTTCTTCTTTTTTTGGAAGTGTGGGGTGGGGTTCAAGACAGGGTTTCTCTGTAGCTTTGGAACCTGTCCTGAAACTAACTCTTGTAGATCAGGCTGGCTTCTAACTCACAGAGATCCGATTGCCTCTCCCTCCCGAGTGCCGGGATTAAAGGTGTGTGTCACAACCGCCGACCTCATTTTCCTCTTATCGCTGAATAAACTCAATAAGATTCCGTTGTCTCTAGGTTCTATATCTTCTTTATCCATTCATTTGTTTATGAACATCTCGGTAGTTCCATTATCTATTGTGAGAAGTACAGCAATAAACATGAACGTGCAGGTTATTATATGATAGGGCTTAGAGTCCTTTGAGTATATACTGGAGTGGAAGTGGAAAAGTTTTTTTTTTTTTGGTTTTTTTGAGACAGGGTTTTGCTGTAGTTTTAGAGCCTGTCCTGGAACTAGTAGATTAGACTGGCCTTGAACTCAGAGAGATCTGCCTGCCTCTGCCTCCTCCTGAGTGCGCCACCACTGCCCGGCTTGGAGTGGAAAAGTTTTATATGAAACCTTCACACTGATTTCCATAGTGAGTATGTTAAATTTTGTTCTTATTGTTGTTTTGAGTGTGACTGCTGTTTTCAGTGTGACTGCATTAGTTTGTTTTCTCACCAGCATTCATTTCTTCATTTATGGTTTGTTTTCTTTTATCTTAGTTGATATTCTCAATTGCACTGGCCACTTTATAGAAACACTGTTAGGGTTTATATTTGTAATTATTGTTTACTTTCATTGAAATGTAAGACCAGGGCTTTGCATTGTTCACTTACCGAGTTACTAGAATCGTGTCTGGTACGTAATATGTATTCAGTAAGTGTTTGTTCTTTAAAAGAAGGTCATAGAGCAGCATCCAAACACAAAGTTCTGTGATGGGCTGGAGAGGTTCAGAGGTTAAGAATGCTTACTGTTCTTCCAGAGGACCTGGGTTCAGTTCTCAGCATTCACATGGTGACCACACTTGTCATAGCTCCAGTCCCAGTTTTGTTTACTGGCCTCTGGACACTGCATGCAGCAAGACACCTAGACACATAGAATACATATAAATTTTTAAAAACTGTCTGTAGGTGAATGTAAAAGTTAAGTTTGCATATGTTGGTGTTTGAAGCTACAGAAAGTAGTTGTGTGGTGGTGCATGTGTATAGTCTCAGCACTTAAGAGGTTGGGGCCAGGAGGATGTTGAGTTTGAGGCCAGTCTGAGCTACGTAGTGAAGTCCAGGCTCAGCAGGACTGCATAATTTAATTGTTTTTAAAAAAGAAACACAAATTTCAAAAGTGTCATGTTCAAAGAGTCGGATTGCCATCAGTATATTTCTGGAAAATAGTTACTGATCATAAATTAGGAAGGAATATGTCAGAAAGCATAGAACTTTTCTAGATTGTCACTTGTGGAGATGACTGTTGAATGCATTGTGTCTAGTAGAACAACTATTAAGTTCTTTTAAACTCTTTGTGTACCATTTTTGTATATTGTACCTTATTTAGTGTTAAAAAGTTCCTTGTCAGACCCGTATGTCTACGTATCTTGTGACACTAGAAGATGACCTGTTGAATGAAGTCATAGTGTTGAGGAAAGGCACGGTGTTCTCTGGATGGCATGTGAAGACATTAAGTTGGTTCTACATCTCTCATAAGTCACTGATCACAAAGCTCACTTTTGTTTTTCTCCGTTAGGACATAGGTACTGCCATTGTTTCAGACACTACGGATGATTTGTGGTTTTTAAATGAGTCAGTGTCAGAGCAATTAGGTGTTGGTATAAAAGTTGAAGCTGCTGATTCCGAGCAGACAAGTGAAGTGGGGAAAGCACGTGACAAAAAGGTATGTTTGAACATCTTCACTCTGATATGTAACTATTGACAGAATTATCTGTTTAGTGTTGAGTATTTCTCTGTGTCCAATTTTAGGATTTAGATTAATTTAGATAAGGCTGCCTTAGAAATGAGCCAAGATTCATGGAGAAACTCTTGCTGCTTTAGGGACATGCTGCTCCTTCCCTCTTATGGTCCGTTGTATTTTTTCTAGAAATTTTTGCTTATAAGGCATAGCTCTAAATGGCCTTAGTGGTTTCTATTATAGGAGAAAAATCCTTATGTTTTTAAGAACCTTGATAGCTTTGTAACCACTTTATAACTAAATTGGAAAAAGCTAATTTTAAAACGTATTTAAAATTAGTATGATTTTTTCCTATATTGAGAAGGAAGTTGGGGGGCTGGAGAGATGGCTCACAGGTTAAGAGTATACTGATTGTTCTTCCAGAGGTCCTGAGTTCAATTCCCAGCAACCACATGGTGGATCACAACCATCCTTCTATAATGAGATCTGGTGCCTCTTCTGGCCTTCAGGCATACATGGAGACAGAATACTGTCTGTATACATAGTAAATGAATCTTAAAAAAAGAAGAAGGGAGTTGGGGGTAGGGGCTGGAGAGATGGCTCAGTGCTTCAGGCTCTTCCTGCTGCTCTTCCAGAGAACTCAAGAGTTCACTTTCTAGCACCTATTCTGGTGGGTCAGTGCTTCTTACTTTATCTCCAGGGAATCTAATGTTCCCTTCAGGCCTCCTTGGGCACTCTGTTGACATGCACAAACCCACATGCATACACATAATTAAAAATATAGTCATAAAATAAAGGAGTTAGAGCTGAGTGTGGTGGTGTATGCCTTTAATCCCAGCACTGGGAGGCAGAGGCAGGTGGATCTGAGTTTGATGACAACCTGGTCTACAAGAGCTAGTTCCAGGACAGCCAAGGCTACTCAGAGAAACCCTTTCTTTCTTTTTTTTTTTTTTTTAAATATTTATTTATTTATTTGTTATGTATACAATATTCTGTCTGTGTGTATGTCTGTAGGCCAGAAGAGGGCACCAGCCCTCATTATAGATGGTTGTGAGCCACCATGTGGTTGCTGGGAATTGAACTCAGGACCTTTGGAAGAGCAGGCAATGCTCTTAACCTCTGAGCCATCTCTCCAGCCCCGAGAAACCCTTTCTTGAAAAAACTTTAAAACAAAATAAAACCAAACAAAACAACAAAAAACATAAAAACTCAAGGAACTCTCAGTACACACACAGTTACAGCAGCTAAGTTGGAAGAATTGGGCAGCAGAGCTAGCACTTAGCACATATAAACATCTTAGTAATACCCACTTATTAATTATATCTGTAAAATATATGAGATCCATTATTTTGAATACTTACTGAAAAAAAAAGATCTTTAAAAAAGATGAAAAAAATAGAATAAATGTAGCAATAGATAAAGGTAACAAAAACAAATGATCTGTTAAATTCATATTATTTTTCATAGGAATTTTTTTTTTAAATATAAATATGTGTTAGATTCTCTAAACCAATTATAGACTACATTGGAAGGAATGTTGGTGACTGAAATGAAGATGACAGTTTGGAAATTTTTATATAAAAGAACAGGTTTTAAAATATTTGAACTTTTGAGAGAAAAATCATTAGTTTGCCATGTAGACCTGGCTATTCCAGAAGTATCAGAGATCCACTTACTTCTGCCTCCCAAGTGCTGCAATTAAAGTTATGTGTCACTACCGCCCAGCCAGTAATTGCTGCTTTTATATTCCTTGCATTTGTTTTCTTTGAAGTTGTGAATTTGGATACCTCTTTCTGAATATGGAAGATACTTGGAAACCCTGTGGGTGGGTGTTTTATCACCATTAGTGTTACTAAATTGTCAGCCTTATGTCTGTAGGATCAAGGTTTTGGTATATTTATGTTAATATGTTTATGTTAGGACAGAATGAGTTTTATTTGCATTGAAGTTGTTCATCACTTTTGCTTTAATAGTCTCTCATAAAAAGGTTAGCATTTCTAATGAGGTCTGTTTACCTTCACAGGTGATTGATGTGGGAAAAGATGATGATCCTGAGGACCCTAAGTCCTTGAGTGATGATACAGATGTGGAACTTACCTCCGAGGTAAAAGCTGTTTTGCTGTTGCCAATTTTTAGCTGAATCCTAGTTCCCATGCATTACAGCATTGCAAAAGCTGTCGTTTCCTACTTGCTAAGATGTGTTGGGTTCTTTACATTTCTTTTTTTTTGTTGTTGTGTTTGTTTTTGTTTTTTGAGACAGGGATTCTCTATAGTAGCCTATCTTGGAACTAGTTCTTGTAGACCACGCTGGGCTCGAACTCATAGAGATACACCTGCCTCTGCCTCCAGAGTGCTGGGATTAAAGGCGTGAGCCACCACCACCTGGCTACATTTCATCTTCTTAAGTTTTTAATTGGAATTTGAAAACAAAAAAATATTTTGTTGTTTTTCGAGACAGGGTTTCTCTGTGTGACAGCCCTGGATGTCCTGGAACTTGCTTTGTCGATCAGGCTGGCCTTGAACTCATAGAGATGCTGGAATTAAAGTATGTGCCACTGCTGCCTGGTTATAAATGAATAATTTGATCCAGTATTTTCCCTGACTTGGGAAAAGTGACCAGAGTACCTCTGTTCCTGCTATCAAAACTATAGACAAACCTGATGGTGGCGGCACACATCTTAATTCCAGCACTCGGGGCAGATGCTGGATCTCTGAGTTTGAGGCCAGCTTGATCTACTCAGTGAGTTCCAGGATGGCCAGAGCTACACAGAGAAACCCTGTCTCAAAAAACAAAATGAAAAAACCAGGACAAGGCATACTGAGATGGTTCAGTAGGTAAATCACTTGCTGTGGAAGCATTAGGACCTTCTTTTGAATCCCCAGAAACCAGGAAAGGCAGGGTTAGTAGTGCATTTGTTTCTGTGCCAACAAGGGAAGAGATGCAGGAGAATTCCTGGAAGCTTACAGGCCAACTAGCCTGGCATATGCGGTAGCAAATGACAGGAATCTTGTCTCAGACAAAGTGGATGATGAAGAACAATACCCGAAGTTAATCTCTGACCTCCACAAACATGATATGGTACATTTTTGCTGTAGTCCCAAACCCACACTAAGCCCCCCCCCCCCCAGTCCATTACTTTCCCTCATTTGAACACCTTTCTCATCCTAAGGATAGATCTGTAAGTTACATAAAATTCTTTGAGTTAGAAAAATAATTTTACCAGCATCTGTTAAAAAATGCAGATGAGGGGCTGGAGAGATGGCTCAGTGGTTAAGAGCATTGCCTGCTCTTCCAAAGGTCCTGAGTTCAATTCCCAGCAACCACATGGTGGCTCATAACCATCTGTAAAGAAGTCTGGCGCCCTCTTCTGGCCGTCAGGCATACACACAAACAGAATATTGTATACATAATAAATAAATATTTAAAAAAATGCAGATGAATCTGCTGGTGGTAGTGCACTCAGGAGGCAGAGGCAGGCCACTCTGTCAGTTCGAGGTTAGCCTGGTCTACAGAGTGAGTTCCAGGACAGCTAGGGCTACACAGAGAAATCCTGTCTTCAAAAACACAAAAAGATGCAAATGAAAAACAACTTAATTTCCACATAGTTAATATAAATGGGGATTGCTAAAGAAGAGTCAGTATTAAGCTTTTAGGTAATATGCCTTTAGTTTGTTGCCATGTGATAAGTTAAATCAACCTAAATGTATACTTTGAATTTCTCTCTCTCCCCCCTCCCTTCCTCCCTCCCCTCCCTTCCTCCCTCCCTTTCTCTCCCCTGCAGCTTACTCACTGTGGAAACAGATGCTAGGATTTAAATAAAAAGGGTGTTTCACTGCTTTGGGATAGAACTTTAGGTTTGGTTTCTGGTGTTAATTGCCACCCTCTAGCCGTGCTGCTGTTGATTGTTATGGTAATTTTTTGCAAATCATCTCTTTGCAAAGATAAATGATAAATAAAGTGGAACATAATTGGTCTAGTAAGTGTTCTTGACCATAATACAAATAGCTGAGATAAATGTTCTCATCCTAATCAGACTTCTGTGACACTTGGGCACAGAAAAACTATTAAGCAAATAGATGATATTTCATCAAATCAAAGATGCCATTGGATGTAATAAGTCCTGCTATTTTATGTACTATAAAAAAGCAATGGCAATCAAACTGTAGCATGCTATCAATTATGAATTTCAAATTATTATGAATTTCAAAGCATTTATATAGCATTTTAGAAAAGATTGAAGGGTCCTAAACTGGGGAGTGTTGTAGCTTAATCATTATTCTATGCTTCTTGCCTCATTCTAGGCAGTTGAGTTATGACCTCTACATTTTCAGTGCTTGGCATTTGTCCTGTGTATCAGTTACTGTTCTGTAACTGATGACCAGGACAACTTACAAAGAAAGCATTTAAAGTTCTAGAGGGTTAGAGCCTATGATAGAATGAAGAGAAGGTGGTACAGTTGATTGCTCACATCATAAACTGCACGCAGGAAATAGAGAGCTCACTGGGAAGACATGAAGGCTTCTGAAACCTCAGGCTGGCTCCCAGTTACACCTCCCAATAAGGCCATGTCTTAGTCAGTGTTCTGTTGCTGTGAAGAGACACCGTGACCATGGCAACTGATAAAAGAAAGCATTTAACTGGGGCTTGCTTGCTGTTTAGTCCACTCTTACCACAGCAGGGACCATGACAGCATGCAGATTCATATGGTGCTGGAGAAGTAATTGAGAGTTTTACATCTGTATATGTAGGCAGCAGCAGGAGAGAAAGCCATTGGGCATGACTGGGCTTTTGGAACCTCAGAGCTCAGCGACACACTTCCTCTAACAAGACCACACCTTCTAATTGTTTCAAATAGTGCCCTCTCTGGTGACCAAGCATTCAAATCTTTGAGCCTATGAGGGCCATTTTTTTTTTCTTTTTCGGTTTTTCGAGACAGGGTCTCTCTGTGTAGCTATACCTGTTCTGGAACTCACTTGTAAACCAGGCTGACCTTGATCTCTCGGAGATCCGCCTGCCTCTGCCTTTGATAAGTTTCATTTTTTAGCCACTGACAAGACAAAGTTGTGAATGGAAAAGTGACCTGGAAGAAAGCAAGTAAAAGAATATAAATGTCGTCCAAATTGGATAGAAGGCAAAAACAATCAACTTCCTTTAAAGACAGTTATGCCAAATTTTGATTTGAAAAGAACAGTTGGGGCACTATCAATGTAAAAATTCTTCCCTGGGAGAATTGAATTTGTTCAGGTCTCAGGTTGAGCTACTGGTATGGGTTATCTAGACAGATACTTAGTGAAATGAGAATTTGGCCTATCTTCCATTTTTGCTTTGTTGTTGTTATTGTGTGTGTGTGTGAACATATTTTTCTTAGCATCTCTTTTACCACATTTTTAATCGACTTCACTTAACTTTTTGTAGGATGAGTGGCAGTGTACAGAGTGCAAGAAATTTAATTCTCCAAGCAAGAGGTATTGTTTTCGTTGCTGGGCCTTAAGAAAGGATTGGTATTCGGATTGTTCTAAATTAACTCATTCTCTCTCCACATCTAATATCACTGCCATACATGAAAAGAAAGAGAATGAAGGAATCGATGTCCCCGATTGCCGGAGAACCGTTTCAGCTCCAGTTGTCAGGCCTAAAGATGTGTATTTAAAGGAAGAGAATACCAAGTTTAACCCTTGTAACTCAGTGGAGTTTTTGGATTTGGCTCATAGTTCTGAAAGCCAAGAGACCATCTCAAGTGTGAGAGAACAAGCAGATATCCTTTCTGAACAGAAAACAGATACAGAAAGTATGGAAGATTTTAAAAATATCTTGAAGCCATGCAGTTTATGTGAAAAAAGGCCTCGGGATGGGAACATTATTCATGGGAGAACGAGCCATTTGACGACGTGTTTCCAATGTGCCAGAAGACTAAAGAAGGCTGGAGCTTCATGTCCTTCTTGTAAGAAAGAGATTCAGTTGGTTATTAAAGTTTTTATAGCATAGCTGAGTCAGTTGCAGAGAAATATTAGGATCAGGTCATTTCTCAAAAAACCAGTATTCTTGGAGGCAGGAGCAGAAGATCACCTATTTTGATGCCAGTCTGGGCCATATAGTGAGACTTTGTTTTTAAAAGAGTCAGTATTGAGCATCTTTCATGAGTGTGACCCATTGTATATGTTTATTTATGGAATTTTAGAAGATCAGTTTGAGGGTTTCATTGACGTTAGATACTTAAATCACTTTGTTCTCCTTCCAAATCTTAAATCTTGAGTAGGAATAATACCAACACAAACATAACAATGCATTCTTTTATTTCCTGCCGAGAGTAATGCATTAGTTGGTTTATACTCTACCCTGCTGCTATATAATGTTCTCGGGACATCAAAATCTAAGGTAGTTATTAGAAAAATACTAGGACCAACACTGAAGAAACAAATCTGATTAGTCACTGTAGCCAAGGATGACCTTCTACTCCTGACCATCTGTGTCTCTCCCACCTGTGTGCTGTGTTTACAGGCTGTCCCATCATGCCTAGCTGAATCTCTCAGGTTTACATAAAATAACAGGAGTGAACATCTCTGCACAGCCTTCTCAAAGAGAAGGTATAGGCTTTGTAGCCAACACTTGGCAGTTGTCTCCTGGAAGCTGGTTAGGTGTTTTTGTACTTTGCCTCTAGAATTGTTCACACACCGAGGCAATGGCCAGTGATAGGGTTGAACAAGTGGAGAGAAGAGGGAGTGTTGGATTTGTGAAAATGGAGGGAAACAAATTGATCTTCAATTTTGCTTAGTCATTTTGGACCACATAAATTTAGTATACAAACCGAAGATCTTCACATTGAAGCCCTTGTACCTATCTGTATCTGTCGAACCCATGGGATAGATCTTGGTGTTTCCCCAGGAATATGAATACCTCATTTTAAAGACCAAGTCTATATAACTATTGAACTTGGGGGACATCTAGCTGTCCCAGCCTTTCCAATGGCTCCTGCTCTTAGAAATGGGGAGATATATGGTAACTAATCCCATGATGTGCCTATTGGACCAAGACCATTGGGGCTTCTATAATTACTACTAAGGGGAGGTATGTTAGCATGAGTTTTTGCGTTGACTCTGTGTTCCCTGTCTGCCCCACTGCCCTCCCACTAGACCTGACTGCACCAAATGCCTATTGGGTTAATTGTCATAGTTACTCCTTTTTTTTCTTTCTTTTTTCCCCCAATTTTTTCAGTAGTTACTCTTCAATTGTGACAAAACACCAAGGCATAAAAGAATTTAATTGGGCTTGCCTTTCGAGAAGGTTAGAATCCATGATGGCAGAAAACTGATCGCTCACATCTTGATCTGCAAGTAGGAGGCAGAGAAAAAACCTTGTGAAATCCTTGACCCCCACTGCCTCCAAGGCAGCATCTTGTAATCCTTCCCAAACAGTTCCAACAACTGGGGGCCAAGTATTCAAACATGAACCTGTGGTGGCCATTCTCATGTAAACCTCCACATTCCACTCCCTAGCCCCCATAGGCTTTTGACCATATGGTAGTGCAAAATGCATTTGTCCAACCTCAGAAATTCTGTGTTTTAGTTTTGACATAATTTAAGTCAGTCTTCTGAAACCAGAATCAAAAGAGCAAATTTTATTCTAATACACAATGGCACAGAATATGCATCATCATTCTAAAAAGTATATTCAAGGAATAGTGAGGAAATGTGGACCACAACAAGACTGAAACCCAGCAGAGCAATTCCAAATCCTGTCATCATGTCTGGTGCTTAGGTAAAGCCTCCTTTCTTGCTTTGCTGACTGCAACATGCTTTCTCTGTTTCCATTCTTGTATGCAGCTCTCCTTGGCAGGTAACACATGACTCTGACACCTCTGCATTTACAATCTCCTCATTGTGTGGCCTCAGTGGCTCTCTTTAACCATGGAGGAAGTTTCCACAACCCCTTGCTCATGTATCCTCTAATACTCTATAGCCAGATTACACTGCCAAGTTCTACCTGCTTAGGAGAGCCTGTTCTTCCCCCCCCCCCCCCCCCCCCCCCCCCCCCCCCCCCAGTCACACTTGCAGCCATTCTGCTTTGTTGTTGCCTTTTTGGAGCTAGAAAAAAAAGCTTGGGCTTTTTCCTTTCACAAGAGGGATGTTTAGCTGGGTGGGATTTTATCCTGAGGGCATTTCTCCCTCCATTTCAGATCAGGCCTCTCCTTAATCTCAGCCTCTGAGTGTAAGCCTTGGCTCCCAGCATTAACCTTCCTGGTGCTCTTTCCTGCATACTCTGTATGTCTTTCTGCCTCACATGCTCTTTTCTGTTACTAACAGCTATGCTGCAGAGTCAGCATTCAGCTCTTTGGAAGGCTCCTCTGTCAAATTAGTTTGTTACTTTTCACTTATGCTTAGGCAGCTTCTTAGGACAAGGGCAGAAGAAGGTAGCCGCATACTTTGCCAAAACATCCCAAAAATTGTCTTTTTCTCAGTTGCTAATTAAGTGTTATCCTCTGAAGCTTCATGATCTAGACTTCCACAGACCACATGGCTCTTGGCACTACTCTCTTCCAAGCTTCAACCACTTTCTTAGTCCAAAGTCCCAGTCTTCCACATTTCTCCAACAAGCCATGTGGCCAGGTCTTTCATAGCAGTGGCCCATTTCTGATTCCGACTGGTGTCTGGCTACTCTTCAGTGCTGTGGCAAAACACTACTCCAGCCAAGGCAGCAGAGAGAAGAAAGCCTTTATTGGAGCTATGGTTTCAGAGGATTAGTTCATGATGGCACCAACATTGGAGAGCAGGAGGTAGAGAGAGAACCCTGGGAGTGGCATGGGCTTTTGAAACCTCAAAGCCTTCACTTGTGACACACCCCTACCAACAAGGCCACATCTCCTAATCCTCCCAAATAGTTCTTCCAACTGTGGATCAAATATTCATACATGAACCTATGGGGGCCATTCTCATTCAAACCACCAGTTTTCAAAGGAGTTCTTTCTTAGTTATATCTTGTCATTGCCTCCAGTTGATAATTTCACTAGTTGTAGCAAATAAAGTAGAATTTGTCTTTCCTCAGTGGCCAAGCCTTTGCGAGTATTAAAAGCCCTGTAGCTCCTATTTGGCGTGATGTGCAGCTTCTTTGAGAGACTAATTACAGACATCTTTATTCACATCTCCATGATAGTGAGAATAACAAAGTAGTGTAGAGATGATCACAGATGTCATCAATCATAATTCCTGCTTCAGAGCAGGCTGTGATGTATCCAATCCTCCTGAGTGGGACTGAGTTTTTTTTTTTTTTTTACTTTATTAAAATACTGAGTTTATTTCATATGTATATTTTTGTCTCCCTACTGTTTCCACATCTGACCACCACTATTACTATGTCCTATCATAATATTCCATACATACTTGAAACCAAGTAAAGGGTGGAGTTCCATCCTTGAAAACTAAACAGGCATTTTAGACAATGCATTCTTGGCAAGGAACCTGGACAACATCAAATACAGTAGGGAAAGTTCTCACTATGCATTATAAAAAAGACAGCCAGATATATCAACTGTTACAGAAATTAAGACGGAATATTTCAAAGTGTTTAAACCATTTTCTTAAAAGAGACCTCCTCCACTGCCAGAGATCTTGACTAACCTTCTGGTCAGTCATCCGGAAGCAATTCTTCACATAATCAATGAACTTGGCTTCCACTTTGGGAAGAGAGCCACCTTTTTCTATATTTGCTTTCATTTTTGCCTTAATGTCTTCTACAGAACTAGGTCCTTTTGGTGTTTTAGGTTTTTTTTTTTTTTTTTTCCTGTTTTTTGAAGGACTCTTGACCCTTTGATCTTAGTGTTGACGGTTTTAAGTCTTTTCTATTTTGGTGTGATATTTGTGCATTTTTGGCTGGGGTATCTTGTACAGATTTCTTCACTGGAAATTATTCAGCTTCCTCATCATCATCCTCATCAAATTTTACTTTTTTTCTGTGGAACCTTGTTGCCACCTCCAGGAGCAGATCGCTTTCCAGGCATATTCAACAGCTTTACATCCTCTTCATCTTCATCTCTGACTCTGCATCTTCCTCTACAGCTACTAGGTGCTGCCCACTAATGTTCACAGGCCCTGAACCACACTTCAACCTTAAGACCAAAGGTAGTGTTAGGAACTGAGTCCTTTTCAGTTCCAAGAACTGTATTCAAAATAGAATGTATTTTAAGTCATCCCAATGCTCCTCATCTTTTGGGGCAGGATCTTGCTGTTTAGCTATGACTGGCCTAGGCCTCACCCTGTATCTCAGGCTGGCCTCAACCCTGCAGTGATCTTCCTGCTTTTGCCTCTCGAGTGCTGAGTTTATAGGCATGTCCTGGTTAAGTTTCTTACTTTGGTTGTCCTTTAAGTTAGTATTGTGATCATACTATCTTTGACAGAAATTCAGAGCAGAGCTGACAGGTGATTGGAAAAGGCTCCTCCCTGTTACCTTACATACGGTGTTAGTATGCTTATGTATTTACCACTGTGTCAGACTAGAAGTCCAGGCCAAGCCTTTACACTGGTGTCACTGCCTCCCTGGCCCATCTATGTCAAATTTCCCAGTGAGGGCTGGACCTGGTGGATCCGAGCAGCCAGGCCAGCCTTCTAACTGCCACAGAATTGTGTAATAGCACGTTTTACTGCCAAGCATTTGTGATTGTGTGATAATATGTTTATTATTTGTGTATATTTAGATGTATGTGATACTTTGCATGGTTTGAAAGAATTTATTCTGAAAGCCAGGATCACGTGTGTCAGTTCAATGTAATGGTTCCTTTGAAAAGTCTTGATTGAGGAATTGGTGAATGTTTCCAGTTCCTTAATGTTACCTGGTTGGTTCTTTTTAGAAAGGAAGAACCTTCCAGACTAGCTATTTGTCAGTGTTTTTGTTTTGTTCTGTTCCCATGATGTTCTGTGAACTCCGAAAGTATCTAAACATGGCTTTAGATACTGTGACTGTTATTTTTCCTTTTAGCCTAAATTGTTGCTCCAGCCTAAAGAAGACTATTTCCTGATGCCTCTAACCAACCTTTCATGTATGTTCACACTATCTAGATTGATGCTACCTTTGTTCAGAAATTTTAGATAAAGAATTAGCTGTTTAGTCTCTTCACTTCAATGATAAACCCAGAAGCTGTCCTCTGTGCCAAACGTAAAGTGTGCAATGTTTACAGATAGGTGGAATTTTGCACTGCCATAGGGAATGGTGAGGTTATATCACCAGATTCCCTAGATTTATGGGTAGATAGTTGCCGTTTATGCTTATGAGAGGAGCTGTTGAGCCGTCTGAGTCTAACCTGGAAATGAGTATCTGAGACCAGTGGTTGAAGTGATTCACTCCCTAGACCTAGCTTGGGAGCAGTTTCCAGTTTGGAGGTGTTTTTTCTATTGACAGCTCTTTGTTGTCTGCAGTTACTATGTGCTTCCTTTAGAGGAGCTGCTAGCCCTTCCCTCCTTGGGGAGAATGTTGTGTAGGCATTTTGAAATCTTTTGATGTAATTAATGTGCAATCCCAAGTAATGCCATTATTGGTGAATGTGGCATTAGTAAAGAAACTCTTACTATAAATTATTCTTTCCTCAATAGCCCCCTCCTTTTTTTTTAATTGAAGAGACAGGGTCTCCATGTCCTTGGTTGACCTAGAACCTTTGTAGGCTAGGGTGTCCTCAAACTCACAGAGATCTGCCTGTTTCTGCCTTCTGAGTGCTAGGCCTAAAGGCGTCTGTCACCATACCCATCCTTAGTAGCCTTTTGAATGGCTAATGGTACAGAAACTGATCTCATATCCACGGTGCTGCTTTCCCTGTTTATTGCGTTTGCATAGGAGCCTCTAGTCCCTTCTAGCAGCACAGCACAGCCAGTAGCACTCCCCATTTCTTAAGGTGGAGGAATCAGAGATAAGCTATAAGGGCAAGTAGTGCTACCAGGACAGTTCCTTCAGTGGTGTTAGAGTTTGGCAAGTGCTTTACTAAAGGTCAGCATTGTGTTGAGACACCTGAGAGCCAATCAGAGCATTTTATTTGTTATCCAA